TCGTAAAAGGGCAAGAGGGAATCTTCGTCCACTTGGCATATAGAGCTTAACACGACTTTGAAAGACTCCGATCCATTCCGGTAGACGCCCCCCCCCCCCCCAAAAAAAAAAATGAAGACGAGTCTCTGCTACCTCCTCTTGTATTTCTTCCAATTCCAGCAAAACCTTGTCTCACAACAAGTGGGCATCCACCTTCTGCAAGAATCTCCCCCGTCATTGAAGATTCAGAACTGCGAAAGCGACGGGAAATGTTCCGAAATACGAATGAGCGTCACTCTTGATGCCGATATCCGACCGCTCCAAGTCCTCCAAGGGATGGAGAGCTGTATCACTGACGAGGAGAAGGCTTGGGATCGAAGGTATTGTGCGGACAGCGAACGGTGCGCCGAACAATGTTCATTGGGCGGTGTTAAATATAAGGCGGTCCACGGGATCACTACCGATGATCATACCCTCAAGCTCAGATTATTCACTCACGGAAAACTGACTGAATCTAGGGTTTATCTCTTGGCCGACCAGAAACATTATCAGTTATTTCATCTCAAAAATCAACAGTTCTCGTTCGAGGTCGATGCTTCTAAGGTTCCTTGTGGCGTCCATGCCGCTCTCTACTTCACCTCGATGAAAGCTGACGGCGGGTTGTCGCGCACTAACAAGGCTGGCGCAATGTATGGAACTGGATATTGTGACTCCCAATGTCCCACTGCGCTCAGGTTTATCAACGGACAAGTGAGCTATTCTATTAATCTCGTCTTCGTATTGTGAACAAATCCATCAATTTTTTGAAAACAAGTCACCGACTGATCGTTGTTTACGTCTCGATTCCAACTCATTTAAGGCGAATATTGAAGCTTCTGGGGAGCCGGGAGAGCAAGTGTTTAAGAGTATGGGGGCATGCTGTCCCGAGCTAGATCTATGGGAAGGGAACGGAATGGTCCAGGCATATGGGGCCCATCCATGCGTCTTCCCAAGCATGACGACCTGTGAGGGGGAGGACTGCACATCCAAGGGTGGGCTATGTGATCATTCTGGATGTGGACTTGCGTCGCAGAGGGTGGATCAGAATACTTTCTACGGGCCCAACAAGACGATCGACACCCGTCACAAGTTCACCGTCGTCACTCAGTTCCTTACCTCGAATGCAACCACTCAGGGAGAGCTGGTCGAGATCAAACAGTTCTATATCCAACATGGAGTCCTCATCAAGCATCGGGGCATCAAGCTTCCCGGACAAGACTCGTCGCTCAACTCGATCACCGATGCGTTCTGTTCGATCATGAGCAACACGACTGGAACCGGGAGCGCGTTCCGAAGGACCGGCGGGCTGGAGGCGATGGGACGCGCTATGGAGAAGGGATTGGTGCTCGTGATGGGGCTTTGGACTGACGAAGTCACTGACTCCTTAGGATCAATACAGAAAATACCCGCTACTAGGAAAAATTCTCTCAAGAGAATCAATCAACTCGTTTGTCCTGAAGAAACTCGCACCCAGCCTTTCATTCAAAAACATCATCCTCACGCGTCCGTTCTATTCTCAAATATCAAAGTCGGACCTATCACAAACTTCCCCTATAATGATCTGCAGGATTATAGCTACCAACATCAGGTCCATGCTAATGAGCACACAATCATTTAACCCACTTTTATTTCCTTGCTCGTAATTTCTGTAGGATCATATTATGTTTAACAATTCTGAATATTTACAATAAAATTCATGCATTTGTTTCCACTTATGTATCTACATGAATCCCAAAATCACAAGCATAAATACTGATATATTTTGCCCTTATCTAGCTCATATTGGTAGTTCTAGCTTTCCTCAATCCCAAGATGATTTATTTTTTATTGATTTTTTGGAATTTTTACTCTCTGTATCACTTTGAATATTGTTAACTTCCATTCATGATTTGTTCACAGTGATGTTTTGTGTACTAAGGATTACTGTCAAGCAGAGTTTTAATTTTTTTAAGAGACTTCAGCTTCAAAAAAAGATACAAAATGCTTTCTCTGGATACTAGCTTTCAGCTCTATTCACATAGATCCTTTAGCTAAGAAACTATAACTCATTGCAAGTAAGATTGTTGGTGATAAACCACTTGGAAATCTCACTTAAAAATTGGTTGATCCTCATCATAACAAACAATGACTGATTGTATTATTGAGATTTAAAAGGACACCTAGACATTTTGATTTTTAGACGGCCAATCAAGTTGAACTCATTCCATGCATTTTCATGAAAAAGTTCATCAAATAGTGATTCTCTACCCTTTGTGAACTGTTAACATTCTTTGTTTTAGGAAAATATTCAAATAATTCCTTTTTGTTTGAGTAAATTAGGATGGTTCACAGCTTAACTTGGGTGCTATTTTTAGAGCATTCATCATTGTGTTTTTACAAAATTGTCCAAAAGTTCAGATTGGTCCAAAGCCAATGATTCACAAGGTTCCACAAAAAAATGTGAAATTGGATTAATGAATGTGCTAAGAATTGCCTCAAAGCTCAGATGTGAACAGAAACTATTAGGAGAGTTCACAATTGAACTTCAAAGTCATCTTTGGGGTGTTTCTGATCAAAAATTTACAAATTTTTTGTGATGCACAGAGGGTTTTGAAACCACAAAATCTGAAAAAAAAAATCAAAACATATATATACAGTCGTTCTAAAATGGAATGAGAATCGGTCTCACCAATTTTGGAAAATCCCCACTAAAAACGACTGTAAAATGTTACTCATTAACACCTTGAAAATGGCTCCCAAGTTCAATTGTGAACCCACTGATTAACATGTTCAAACCACTGTTCAAAACATTCAGGTGTGGTATTATAATGGTAATTTCAATTCAAAATGGGCAAATTCCGTATGCATGTGCAGCAAAAAGTCACAGGCCTTTCTAGCCGAGCCCGGGATCGGTGACATGGGGCGTGAAATCCCAGCCCTCCACTGATCGCGTTGTCCATGAAGAATGCTTGAGGCTGACGGAACACTTGCACCAACCCAACGTACATAAAACGGTCAACGAGACATACATAACGCCAAGAAAAGGTTTATCGGATTCGGAGTTGGCTCGTGGACCGAAAGAATATTCCATACAACATACACGTATCTCCCGACGGACCACATAACTTGGAAGGACTCCTGGCTTTGGAACTATGGTCAGCTATCTCAAGTTGCGATCGATCCTACTTACCAACCAAGTCATAATGTTTCCATTCCAAGCTATTCTCAGTCTGACTTAACTTCCCTCGATCGACTCATTGATTTAGGATCAATACGGTAAGAATTTTGCGGTTTTACTCGGAAACCTATTGACATGGCTATTTCGATCGTCTGATTCTGGTCGGCCATTTTTTTGACGCGCTAAGACGAGTGGGGGAATTTCATCGGGTGAGTCTGAAATGCCGGATACCTTTGATCAAAGGATCTATGGATCTCAACCTGTGTGATTCTTGAAATTTTTCCTAGGGACCTTTCGGATGAATCGGACGCAGGTAGTGAAGCCAATCAGAATGAAAGGCATTCACCCACGGTCGAGCCACTGGCTGATTTACCCGAGCCAGATGAAATCAACGATATGGAAGTCGACCGTTCGTATTTTTTCTTGGATATTTTCTCGCTAGGTCCAGTTTCGGAGTTTGGACGGGCACTAATAGCCAATCGGACTTCTTTTTTGCATAATCTAGATGTAGGTTCAAGTAACGCAGTCGTATTACACGACGATAAAAAATACTATCCTCTTGCTTCGGGTCAGTCGGAATTTTTGTCTTGGCATTAGCTCTGCTCCAGGCTAAACTTCAGATCCGTTGCGGCATTCCACAGAACTGTATGGTCCCGATGTCGAAACCATGGTTGAAGAAGAAGATGCTCAACCTCTTACGGAACCGATCATCAATCCCATCAAAGTCCGCAAATTCACCATTGTTGAAAAGGGTGAAGCCGTACCCGAGACAACCTTCTCAAAGCAGTTGAGTTGATTATTCACACTCAGCGGAGGACGGACATCCCATTGATTATGCTTTCACTTCTTGAAGATTCATGGCTGACCTCATGAGCCATCCTGAATCCGTTCGAAATGTCGCCGTCGTAGGCCATCTTCACCATGGCAAAACAGCTTTACTCGATATGCTAGTCCATGAAACACACGATTTTGAATGGGACACGAGTAAACCTGTAAGAATTCAGTCACTATTCTTTTTTTATTACTCTTTTGGTGATTGCTACTTACTTTGGTGTCTACCCAGCTGCTATACACGGACACACACATTCTTGAACAGCAGCGTGGCATCTCACTCAAGTCATCGCCCATGTCGTTTGTTCTTCAAAACTCCAAGCAAAAATCCTTCTTGGTCAATATGATCGATACTCCCGGACACGTGAACTTTTTGGATGAAGTGACGAATTCCTTACGTCTGGTAGATGGGGCAATTCTTGTGGTTGATGCCGTTGAAGGTGTAAGCTTTAACATATCCTGGTTAGATACCAATTACACTAGACCTGATTGAAAGTTGATTTTCCTGTGGGATGCAGGTCTTAGTAAGCACCGACAAGATAATCAGACATCTCGTGCAGGAAGGAATCCCAATCGTTCTCGTTGTGAACAAAGTCGATCGACTGATTTTGGAGCTTCGACTACCTCCTGCTGATGCTTATTACAAATTAAAACACACGATTGAAGAAGTCAATACTGTCATCTCAAGCTGCAACCCAGATCCTATTCATCGAGTCTCACCCGAGCTGGGAAATGTCGGATTCGCATACCACCGAGATGGGATGGTGTTTCAATCTGACCAGTTT